TGGATTGGCCAAGTGGCAGCATTGATGGACTCAAGTAAGGCAGCGGTAGTGAGGTTGACTCAGGATCGGACATTGTTTCATTCTGCTGTGCATGGGGTCACTATGAATCGGTTCTGACTCAATAGCACCTAACAACAACAACAACAACAACAACAACAACAACAGCATATCTTTGTGTTTGTCAACTTCCATTAACTTGAACCAGGAAGGACCTTAAAAGCAGTGACTGATGGAACAAAACAAACATTCAGAAAGCTTCCATTGCAATAAGCATATTATTTTTCTTCCAAAATAGCCACATTAGGAAACTAGTGGTTGTTCTATTTGTGCTGCCATTATTGTTGTTAGGTGCCATCGAGTTGGTACTGACTCATAGCGATGCTATGCACAACAGAGCAAAACACTGCCCAGTCCTGGGCCAACCTCACAATTGTTGCCATGCTTGAGCCCATTAATTTTGCCACTTTGCCAATCCATCTTGCTGGAGGTCTTACTCTTTTTCTCTGACCCTCCACCTTACCAAACATGATATCCTTCTCCATTGACAGTGCCTCCTGACAATATGTCTGAAGTATGAGAGACGAAGTTTGGCCATCCTGGCCTCCATGGAACACTCTGGCTGCATTTCTTCCAACACAGATCTATTGGTCCTTTTGGCAGCCCATGGCACTTTCAATATTCTTCTCCAACACCATAATTCAAAGCATCAATTCTTCTACTGTCTTCCTTATTCACTGTCCAGCTTTTGCATGCATATGAGGTTATTGAAAATACCATGGCTTGGGTCAGGCGCACCTTAGTCCTCAAGCTGACATCTTTGCTCTTCAACACTTAAAAAAGTTCTTGCGCAACAGATTTGTCTAACGCAATATGTCGTTTGATCTCTTGACTGCTGCTTCCATGAGTGTTGGTAGTTGATCTAAGAAGAACGAAGTCCTTGATAACTTCAATCTTTTCTCCATTGATAAGAATGCTGTTTATTGGTCCAGTGGTGAGGATTTTTGTTTTTTCTACATTGTGATGCAATCCATACTGAGGGCTCTGGTCTTTGATCTTCATCAGTAAGTATTTTAAGTCCTCTTCACTTTCAGCAAGCAAGGTTGTATCCTGTGCACATCTGATGCTGTTAATGAGTCTTCCTCCAATTCATATAACCCAGCTTCTCAGATTATTTTCTCAGCATACAAGTTGAATAAATATGGTGAAAGAATACAACCCTGTCATACACCTTTCTTAATTTCAAACCATTCAGTGTTCCCATGTTCTTTTTAAACAACTGCTCTTGGTCTGTGTACAGATTCCTCATGAGCACAACTAAGTGTTTTGGAATACTCATATTTTGCAATGCTGTCCAGAGCTTGTTATGATCCACACAATCAAAAGCCTTTGTGTAATCAATAAAGCACAGGTAAACATCTTTCTGATATTCTCTGTTTACAGCCAAGATCCATCGAACACCAGCAATGATATCCTTCATTCCACACCCTCTTCTGAAACTGGCTTAAACCTCTGGAAATTCTCTGTCAATGTATACTTGCAGCCGTTTCTGGATTACCTTTAGTATAACTTTACTTGCATGGGATATGAAAGATATTGTTCTATGATTTTTGCATTCCGTTGGGTCACCTCTCTTTGGAATGGGCACAGATATGGATCTCTTCCAATCAGTTAGCCAGATAGTTGTTTTCCAAATTTCTTGGCACAGATGAGTGAGTGCCTCCAGTTCTACCTCACTTTCATAAAGACTCTTTTTAAATAATTCAATTTACAGACTACAAAAATACAATAGGTTTCTTGCTAACTCAGGTGATTGGGAGGGCAATATACAATATATAAAATGGGAGAGAGCAATGTTACAGAGAAAAGATGAAGATAGATGAAGACACATGTAAGCATACAAGGTATAAAGGGAATAGCAGTAATAGTGATATATGCACATTCTTGGAACAGCAGTGTTTTCTGTGTAGATACATGGACATAGACACAGATTGAATGGATATGAGAAGAAGGGTATGAGAGCAGTTCGAAACTACCAGCTGTTCCATGGTAGAAAGATGAAGCTTTCTGCTCCCGTAAAGATTTACAGCCTCAGAAACCCTTCACTATGAGTCATCACCCACTCCATGGCACATAACAAAAACAGCATATATATATCCCACAAATATATAAGAATTTGAAAGATGATAATTGTATATGCATAACCACAGAAGGATGGGGGCAGCTGTTGTTGCATGGAGGGGATTGAAATTGGATGTAGGACTGATGATCTTGTCAATAAACATTCACTCAATTCATGATATATATATATATATATATTATGGGAGCAGAAAGCCTCATCTTTCTCCCACAGAACAGCTGGTAGTTTCGAACTGCCGACCTTGAAGTTAGCAGCCTGATTCATAACCCCTACGCTACCAGAACTCCATCTCCACATATATATTTTTTGTTTTGTAATCCCCTCTTGCTGCTGATATAAAACCGTATTACCCACGGGATGCTTTCCACTCTTGGGAACACTGGGTGCATCCTGAGTTGTTTAAACTGGGATAGGGAACTAGAAGGCAGGCTTGACTTGAAAGATACAGCAGAGTGAAGATTTTTAAATCCAAGGTCATGGAAAAACATGTGAAGTTCATTGCCAGGACTGTGTTGGTACAAGAAGGGAATGTACTGCTTGTGAGGATTGGAAATGTAAAGGTAGACGTTTTGTAACAAGGAGGGGAGTGATTAACTTTTCAGCCTAGGAGCGGAGGTCCCTGGGACTATCAAAGGAAAAGAGTGGAGAGCAAGACCCTACCCAGAGAAGCAGTGATGCCTGAGATGGAGGCAGAGACAATGACGTGGAGAGATGGAGCAATTGGGGACTTTAGACACAGAGAGTGAGAGGGGCTGTGTGCTAACAACCAGGGTCAGGCTTGTAGCATATACCCTTTGGTTGGTTTATGATGCATGGAGGAGTTTGTAACCATAGCAGTGAAAGAATATACGATAGGATGAATGTAAAACTAATGTTCTCCAATGTAAACTATCACACAATTCACAATAAAACATAAAAAAAAAAAAAAAAAAAAAAGGAATGTGAAAGGTGCATACAGAACCCTAAACAGAATTCTCACTATGGATGGGCTCATTGACAAGATTAAGGGTAGGCGGTGCTATGAGAAGCCTTGCCACAAACGACATAGAGAAAGTCATGAAACCTGCCGTAGGATCTACAACATGGAAATGGCTTGCAAGATACACTTCTTGATGCAAAAGAACCAGAGAGATCAATGGCAGGGCTGTTGAGGCACTTTGTATCTTTTTTCCTTTCCAGAACCTACTTTTGCTTTCTCTACAATAAACTCAATCACATATTTGCAATAAGGGCTACATAATAAGAGGTAATCCCATTGGTCATAAATGGACCCTCTCTTTTATTAAGTGAAAAAGAAACTGAGTCAAAATTAGTCTAGCAGTGCTGAGGAAATGCTCCAGCATTAGAATATAGCTACAATTTCTTACCCAATTTTTATGAACCCAAAGTGAAATCTAATTACTGGAAAACAACCTGTTATTCTACTAAACTTACTAAAGCACTCTCCTGTCCACTCTTTTATCCTTTCCCTTATTTCTCCCCAGAAGCATGTATGGATTTGGAATAAATTCTGTTTCTGAAACATCCATCAAAAAACAAAACAAAACTGTATTTCTCAATTGTATCATCCATCTGATTTGTAAGACTTGTTTTCAGAAGTCTTTTGAAGCACTAAAAAAATAACACTTACCCTTCAGAATCCATAATAATCACAATTATACTACTGGTAATCCCTGATTTACCATGAGATTCTGTTTTGACAACTCCATCATTATAGTCAGTTATGACATAATTAGAATACCTCTTTTCCTTTTTAAAAATTTTTTTGTTTATTTATTATCTTTTATTATTAGTATCTTTAAAAATAAAATATTTGTCTTTGAGGGTTGGCAGGAAAATGAAAACATCAGCAAATTATATGTTGCAACACTGTATATAGTACATATTACTAACTATTAGATGTACACACACACACAAAAACGGAAGGCTGTATGTCCATTTCTTGGTAACTTGAATCTGTTGTAAGTCAGGGATTATCTGTATATTACTAATAAAAATTTATCATTTGCTGATTCCTTACTAGGTGCCATGCACTGTGATAAATACTAATTGTACATTTTCACATTTACTCCACAACAACCCTCAACAACTCACATAAGAGACCACTATTTTTATTATCACTATTTTCATATGAGGAAACTGAGGTACAGTGGCCTTAAGTAACTGTGATTGTAAAGGGCTTCACCATCAGACACTGATGACAATTCCAAAAGTATTTCTAAATCCTCTTTGGATAATGCCATCATAGCTTCCCATGAGGATGCTTATAGCTTTGTGGATGTTTTCTGAAAAAGAAATAAGACTTATTTGCATAAATAGTTGAGGACTGGTGTGGGGTTTATGTAGGATAATAAGTACTAAACTACTAACTACAACTACCACTCATCTGTCAGTTTGTCATACTGTAGTGGCTTACATATTGATGTAATTCTGGAAACTATATTGAAGGTATTTTAAATATCATCAGGGTCACCCATACAGACAGGTTTCAGCTGAGCTTCTAGATGAAGACAGACTAAGAAGAAGAATACACGGACAACATTAGAATATTT